TGGGTATATTTTGAATGGGGACGATATGTGGAGGCTCAAAATCTTTGTCTGACTGTCAAATACCCTTTACTAGACGGAAAATTGATGGCTGATGCCATTTCGGCATTCAAATTTTCGGCATCTGCACGTCATCTTTGAGCCGAAAATATCCATATTGTAAAGTATTTTACAGTTTTTCGCACTTTTTCTGAAATCGGCAGCCACCATCTTTGATTTCAAGATGGCGCAGGATATCGATATTTGGTCTCTAGAGGTCATCCCGATTCCAAAAATATACATATTGATGGGTATTTGGCAATATTTCCCACTTTTTCTGAAATTGGAAGCCGCCATCTTTGATTTCCAGATGGCGCTGGACATCGATTTTCGGTCTCTAGACGTCATCCCGATTCCGAAAATATACATATTGAAGGGTATTTGGCAGTATTTCCCACTTTTTTAAAAACCGGACGCCGCCATCTTGGATTCCAAACATCGATTTTCGGCAGCTTTCAGTTGTGTCCGTTCCAAAAATACCCATCACTGCAAACATGAAGTTCAGCGCCAAGATTCAAGCTACTTCGAGTCAGAGGTGAAATCACGTCAAAACAACACAATTCCAGTTATTTCTAGCTTGTTATGTCTCGCATCCAAAGCGACATCCGTTTATTAGAAAACGACCAGCGGCAGTTTTGTCGCGACAGAATGGAAGAATGACATGACAGACTTTTTCGTCAATAACCATGTCGGCAGTTTCCGTCAATCTTGTCGTCCGACGTACGTGAAACAACTAAGTCATTCTGGAAAACGTCACGCAACAGATGTTTCGTGGCCAAATGAGAGAAAGACAAGAATAGAAAATGTTTCGTCAAGAGACAGCCCAGTAGATCAGTCTTTCAAGCAGAATTTTGTTGCATCGTGCTTGTCGGATGAGCGTTGACTTTTTTTTGTTGTCGTTGTTACATAGTTTATCGTCATGAGGTTGACAATTCCCAAGCCTGGTCATTTCATCAAAACGAAATCGAAGTTGACTGTTGATACATTTTCCTGAAAGTGCAATAAAAAGCCTTTATTTGGACCGCTCAACTGTTTTATTTCATCAAAACAATCCCGAAATAGAGTTGATTTCTTGCGTCCCGATATTAAGTGAATCGAGCTTTAGGAGTATTTAAAAGAAGTTTTGAGAATAGTTCCAAGAAATTTCCAACGAAGTTTTGAGGTAAATTTCAAAGGAATACTATTGTTATAATACAAGGTTGTTAAAGAAGAGTTTTTTTTTTAACTATTTGGACAGTTTCAAAGAATTCGTGGAATCACTCTGAGCGGAAAAAAAGGGAAAAATTCTAAAAACTGAGCAAACAAAAAGATTTAAAAAAAAAGATTTTTTAAATCGACCCTCTCCGAATTGTATGGAACTTTGTGTAATTGTTTGCTATTGGAAATGATCCACATGTTTTGTTAAAATTCGGCCATTTTGCATCTTGTAAAATTTTCAAAATGGCATCCTTGAAATTTTCAAAAAATTGTGGGTACGGAAACGGCATTTCTAATCGAAATGACGTCTGAGACAAAGTAAACTGACAAAAATAAACAAGAGAACGAGTCAATTGAAAGTTTCCTAGGACCTAGGACCAAAGGTTTACCAAAGATTCACAACCCAGGAAACGAAATAAGGGAGATTATCTCGGCTGAAGGATCCCCCACTCATAAGCTTGTCAAATGACTAGTAAAGAGATTTCAAAATATGCCTAACCCCTTTGACACTCGCTCAGTTAACAGCACACATCATCTTCAGGCATCAGGAGCGATTCGCGAAAATGACGTCATGGTTTCATTTGATGTCACAGCACTTTTTCCGAGTGCACCAGTAAAGGAAGCCATCTACCTTTTAGAGCACTGGCTTCTGAAACAACGTGAGGATTCTACTTGGAAAAGCAAAGTTCGATCATATCTCAAGCTTATTCGTCGTTGTATGCAGGAAAATTATTTCATTTTCAGAGGAAATTTTTATAAACAAACTAAAGGTGCTCCTATGGGCAATCCGCTTTCCCCATTTTTGTGTGAATTGTTCATAGCTAACCTAGAAAATATTCTGGAGAATTGGAATTTGTTGCCCAAGTGTTGGTATAGGTCGGTGGTTGACATTTTTAGCATCGTCAAAAGGGAAGATTTTTTCAAAAATTTCACAAGGACATCAAATTTACTCACGAAGAAGACAAAAGGCGGCAAACTTTCCTTCTTAGATCTTCTCATCATCAGGGAACGTCTTTGTTCGATTTCGAAATCCAAAGGAAACCAACAAATACAAAGAGAGTAATACCAAGCTCTTCAAACCATTCTCATCAACACAAAATGGCCGCCTTTCACCATATGGTTCACAGGATGCAAACTCTTCCTCAGGCAAATCAAAGGAAATAGCTCACATTTTTAAAATCGCTAGATATCATAAAAGAACAAGGGATCATTTTAGGTGTACTTTGACAACTCTTACACCAGTAGCTGAGGGTTTAAAATGGGTAGCGGTGAATTTCGACGAAAACATTACCAAACCATTGAGTTAGAAGTTTAGAAGTTTTGGTCTAGATTTAGTATTCAGCAGCAGGACAAATCAGATAAAGTCATATATTAGCATCAACAAAAGATTCAATAAATGTATTAGGAAAAGCCAGTGTTCAGTTCTACAAAATTTCTCAAGATCTAAAAATGGCCGAATTTTAGCAAAAATTTGAATTGTCCATAACATTGTTTTATTCAAATCAGAGAAGGTCGAGCTTTTCCGATTCGTCATTTGGCGGGTTTTTTGTTTGTTTATAAGTTTATTTATTTGATAAAAATTCTACTCTAAATTTGAACTCACACAAGTGACTTGATGTTGAAGTCTAAAATCCCTAATACCGTCCCTGTTTGGATGATCTCCAAAATGTTTGCTTAGAGTCGTGCTGATTAACTCTCGTACCGCTGGCGATGATGATGCTATTGCTTGCTGCTGGTACCTTTAGCGGTCCGGTCACCACACCGTCTGATGCAAACATGAATGTAGGCACTACAGCAGCGCTGTTTTTAACTTTATAGGTTCAATCAGAACGATGCACAAACAAGTGGTACTCAATTATGAATACTGGGTTAGGGAAAACTTTGTTTCAATAAAACGGTGATAAAATTATCACACTCTTTTTGTACATTTGTCTAAAGTTTATTTATGAAAAATTGGAAAAGCATTTATTTCAGATTCGTAGATTTATTTCCTATCGATTGGTTTATTTGGATTTTAATTTCATCTATCAATGACAAAGTTATAAGCGTTCAAAACCCAACACTTTTTCGTGACGGTCGCAATTTTAGATTTTATATTTACCCCCTGTACGTTCGTGTAAGAGGTAGTCTACGTTAAACAATATTCAGAGAACATTCTTCCTTCTTCTTCTACCTTCTTCTTCTTCTTCTTCTTCTTCTTCTTCTTCTTCGCATTTCAAGCTTATTGATTAGCGCTTATTAGCTTGTTACGTGCTCTCAACTTAGTGTTCTAAATGCACTTCCTCAGTTATTAATTGAGAGCTTTCGATGCCAATACCAATGCATGAATTTGTATATTGTGTTGCAAGCTCAATGATACTCTATGCCCAGGGAAGTCGAGAAAATTTCCAACCCGAGCTTCCCCTGGTTCATTCTGATAGTGTTGTTCTGATGAATTAAGATTTGATTTGACTTCATGAATTTTCTCTAGATTTTGACACTGTTTTGTATCAAATAATGTTTACGGAAGTGTTTGACGGATTCTCTTCATTACACTTCGCGCGAATAGGACCATACAAGTTTTGTTTACACAAGATGATAGGCCCTTCAAATGTTACGTTAGGTAGTGATTAATATAGTAATTGAAAATATGTCCTTTGAATTAATGGAGTATTGAAAAATAAAACAAAAACAAATATGTGGTGTTAAACTATAATGATCAAAGTTTGGTGCACATGTAAACAAATGAGGCACGCGACGCCTCTGATCTGACCAACAATGCAAATCACACCTCTCAGGTATTCTTTCAAATAGCCAAAATCCAGTTGATCATAGATCTCCAAAAAATCCTCAAGATATTTGTTTTAGACTTCAGCTTGATCAAGTATCATTCTGAAGATATTCAACTGCCCAACAATTTAAATCACATCGAATGCCAAATTGCTCAGGAATTAATCCAAAGACCTCCAGGTGATCATTGATCTCCAAATATTTTTTCAAGACTTCAGTTTGATTCTGAAGATCTTAAACTTAAACTGCGCATCAATTCAAACCACATCTCCGAGCTATCGTCTCAAGATACCAGGTTGCTCTGAAATTATTCAAAAGACCTTGAGGTAATCATACATCTCCAAGAAATCTTCAAGATATCTATTAACGAATTTAGCATGATCAATGGTCATTATGAAAATCTTCAACTTCAACACTTCTCTTAGATATTCTCTAACTATAAAAGGTTGCTCAGAAAATATTCCAAAAACCATCAGGTGATCAAAGATTTTTATTTTCTAGGCTTTTGGTTGATCAAGTTTTGTACTGATAATCTTCAACCATGCAACAATTCAAATCAAATTTTTAACTAGCAATGAGTCACGTGTTATAGTCCGTGCCACCACCAATGTATTTTCCCTATGCTTCTTGTTTTTACTTACTCAAATAATACTCTAAAAAAATGGCTCCAATCGAACCCTCGGATTATTGAACCCCCCGATAATCGAGTATATACAATCTATATATATTTCTTTGGGAAATCTAAAATTTTTAATAAAAATATACATCCAGGGAAAGAATCATTTCAACAGTAATTCATTGAAATATTGAATTTTCCGGGCTTTGAAAAATTTCCACGGTTCTATATTCCAAAAAACAAATCAAGATTTTAGGTCATAGTTAATGACCCCTGAGCAGAATTAGCATAAGCTTAACATCTAGTTTCACGTCAACGGACATTCTTGTACTCGTTCTAATTGAAAATAATGATGCTTACCTAAATTTACAACCCATTACAGTGACGTGGACGAATATGGCTTCAAACGGGAACCGGACTTCGACTATCAGTCGTACGAGAACATCATGTCCAGCTACTACACGGTGCTGACGACCCGGAGCATAAAATGGCAAAAGTTCTCCAAAGATTCGGACATTCTGTCCAATCCTCGAAAGCTGAAACGCTTCGTCCGGAAGGGCATTCCGGGGCCACTGCGGGAGGAAGTGTGGATGAAATCGTCCGGAGCCCACCGGATGCAACAAAAGGAACCGAGCCTGTACCAGACCCTACTGCGGTACGAGTATGATCAGGAAATTTGTGAGTATTCCTAGCTTGATTAACCCCCCACCATCGGTATTTAACGGAAAGAAAAATCTAATTTTCATTTCACCACCAGCCGACCAAATCAAACTCGATCTACCACGAACCTTTCCGGACAATATACATTTTGAACAGTACAAACTTGGCCTGTACAACGTGCTCATAACGTATGCACATCACAACAAAGCGGTCGGATACTGCCAGGGACTGAATTACATTGCCGGTGAGTAATGATGTCCAACATAGCTATAGACGGACCAGACGACGACAACGACGAAACAAAGATCAAAATGTGAAAGTTTATAATGCGATTCCACACTCCCGCTTAATTTGTATTTGCTTCCTTCAGGTTTGATATTGATTGTGACAAAGAATGAGGAGTCATCGTTCTGGTTGCTCAAAGTGCTGGTCGAAAACATCGTTCCGCTCTACCACACCAAGAAGATGGATAACCTCATCACGGATATCGATGTGCTTAGCGAATTAATTAGAATACGCGTACCTGATGTGCATAAACATATCGAAGATCTTGGTGAGAGAGCCTTCTTGTACTGCTATATTAGGCGCAATTAGCTGGTTTACGATGTTTGATTTACGCTTTCAGGACTGCCATGGCCTGTGATAGCCACCAAGTGGCTGATCTGCCTCTACGCAGAGGTGGTACCAACGGAAACCGCGCTCCGGATATGGGACTGCGTGTTTCTGGAGGGGAACAAAATTCTGCTTCGTGTCGGTATCAGCATCGTGATAGGACTGCGACAGGAAATCCTCGCAACGGACGATATTTCCACACTGATAGGCCTGTTTCGGGCACTGGATAAAAATCCCACCCTCATGGATTGCCACCGATTTATGAACAGTATCTTCAAAGTGCCCGGAACTTTGAAACGTTCGCAACTCGACCGGATTCGGAGGGAACTGTACGAACAGAGGAAAGCCAGCAAACGGAAAGGTTCCTAGGGTTTGGAGGACTATATCCTTAAGAGATATAGGCTGAACTTGGTGTAGGGTGGGTACGCTTCCATCAAGGACTTACCCACATTCCAAACGGTGCTTCCGGGAAGCCATCTTTTCTAGTTTACATTTCAAATGCTAATTGAGTTTGTAGTTACTGGAATCTGTTTTCGAGAAGCATCGTTTGAAATGATAACATATGAGCTTCCGGTAAGCTCGGTGGTGGTTTGCTTCGTAGGAAATTTCGGAAAACCAGAGAATATAAATAGGACACACTTAGCAGAGACGTATTATGTTAAAATCACGTTGGCAGCTTCACTTCGTTGACTTGCTTACATATGTGAGATCGGATCCTTTAATTAGCTGTTATTTCACCGTCAACTCAGAACCACAATTCAAATATAGACAAACCAAAGTAGGCCCCATATATTCTGCCTACTAAAAAGATTAGCATCAGAAATGAGTTTTCCGTCGTCGTGTTGTGCTTCTTCGTCCTAGCTGTATTTTCTGGGCTCCGAATAGAAGCGGAAGGGGACTTTGGATGCATATTGCGTTCCGCGTGGGGAGTTTTCCGAGTGCGTGATGTTGTGCTAGTGTGTGTCTGTGTGTGTTTGTGTGTTTTCAGATAGAAATGCGAATCTTGTGGAATCAAGCAGTTTTAAATTTTCAACGCAAATATTACAATTTTCCTCGAGTGTCTACGTTACATGGGTGATGCCTTTGATAAACAGCGCATAAATAGCAGTGATCTATTTATTTAGTAATCCATTAAGACTCGTTATTATAGAAGCATTTCTCTGAGGAGTAATTAGGACAATAAGGAAGTTCAATCGGGATGTAGCGATGCAAACAGGAAGGGGATGAACAAATATTGATAAATGTAGTTTAGATGGTTGATCCTTGATGCCTAAGGCTTAATCGAAACCAGTGATGCCAGGGTTGCACACATTTATAAATGGAACAATCACTCATAATCTCGTTAGTAAACAAGTTTTTATTTAGAAAATAATATGAACGTGAATATGTGAACCCCTTGTAAATCAAATCATACTATATCAACTATGTTCATTTCCAATCTTATTTGAATTTATGTACCTATATTAACATATGTCTGTAAGTCTGGCATCGGTGATCGAAATCATCATATGGTTCAAGTTTAAAGGTTATGTTCCATTAAATATTGGATATTATTCATTTAGTGCGAATAGTCAACCAGGTTCGACCGAAATAATACAATAACATCAATATCCGTACTGCCTAATAAGAATTATGCTGCAGGTTTTCAATAATCTAAAACGTATCCGAAATGATCATTGTAGAATTTAAATATTGGTACAACTTCAATGAAAGCGATCCGTTTGATTAAATTTTTAGAGTTGGTTGGAAATGCTAACATGAAGCTTTAGTGTGATAATTTATTAGCTAGATAATGATCTTTAGAAGAGAGTAGGTGGATAGTTCCTTTAGAGTACAGCAATATGAAAATTGAATAGAAGTTGAAAATGAGCGAAGGGTCATAAATGTGACAGTTTTTAAAGTCAAACGCACATCTTTTGCCTAACCCGTACGATGTACGCGGAGTATGTCTTCAAGTCTACAGGCAAAAAATGTGCGTACTCCTTTTGCTCATAACTGACTGCGGCTGTGGAATAGTTCTAGTTTCACCACTACCTAAAGCCCCACGTTTGCGAGAGCATTTCCAGTCGATGGTGTGTTATAATGCAATTCTTCTTTACCCAACTATTGTGTTGCTCCTCTCGTCATGACCAACTTGCTCATCTCAGAGAGAAAGCAGTAGGGTGGTTGTTGCGTGCCGTACCATAATCAGCATTGTTGATGGCTACTCCCGCCTTGAGTTGTTACATTCAAAGTGTTTTTATGTTACTTCATACGCGTAATTAGTTCGCAATTTTACAACTTGTTTTAAATATCAGATCTCCAATAGACTCAATGTGAAGGCTCAATCGCGTTATCTTTACGGAGCCAATAATTCTTTGTTCATTGTTTGTAACAAAATTAACTGAATTCTATGTTTAGTAGGAGTTGGGGCAAACACTCGCGGCTTACCTGAAGTTAGGCGGGTACATTGTCGAATGATAGGTTGAGGGAAGAAGTTTGGGGGTGGTGTTTCATTGTATCATCAGAGCGTTGTCGCCAGTTTGAACCGTAAACCTTGAAGCAGTCCAGTCCGGTTTCGTCCAAATGTTTGTAACAGGTGGGCTACTCCCTGCCCAGCACTAATGAGACCCTCCTCTACACTGCCTCAGAGTCGGCATACAAGTGTGACTATCGCGGCCAAGAAAACACTCAAATACTTTTAACACACCCCGATGAACTTTCACACAGGTCCCTTTTATTTCCCTAAACTTTCCCATTTTCTTATCAGCTATCTTCTATCTTAGTCTTCACTAGTTCTTCCTTCGTCTTCCGTCGTCGATGGGGGGCCCCTTCTCTTCCGTTCCGCTACACCTTCAACTTCGCTTTCTCCTTTCTTTTGCTTCTGTCTCTCCTCTCCTCCTAATACCCCGTACAGACTATGGCTTATATCATGTAATATAGGCTGTCTTGCAATGAGCACTCATACATCTAGTTTTCACTGGAAATCCTATGTATTAGTGCTTATTGCAAGACAGCCTATATTACATGATATAAGCCATAGTCTGTACGGGGTATAAGGGTGGTCCCACGGTTAGGGCTGGTAAATGTAATTTTCAATAAAAGATCTCGCGCGATATTTAAAACATACTTATGTCACTATCATCCAATGAGAAAACAATGATAGAGATTATCTTCCACATCTCAATGACTTTTTTGTCATGACAGAACGTGGCAGTGTTGGGATCATTGGAATTACTAGCTCATTTATTGATATTACTATTATATGCACCACGACAAGCTTAAGCATATATTCACACAACAGATTACATATACGGTTGCTTGCCCAAATTCATCTAAATTAGCTTGAAATTTAGATGCCAAAACCGTATGGACATTATTCTTTCGTCTCGTGATATGTAGTGAGAGAACCTGTTTTCTCATTGTCACATGACGGCCGTGATATTTACCAGCTCTGCTCACGGTACCGTTTGCCGAGCCGTTCGCGAACGGTATAAAGAGTCCACGACGCTCAAGGCAGATCCAAAATGGTGATGAACACGGACTAGTGAACGCGACTGCTTCTAGGATGGATCGGAATACGGTTGTATTTGTACGGTAACTTTGGGGTTTGACCGCAGTAGGTCGAACACAACGAACACTACGGGGTCTGACCGCGCCGTAAATAAATGCTAACGGTAAACTACGGGGTCCTGGATATATTAGTAGGTTGGCTCCTCCTCCACTAGCGATCAAGTTTCACGCCTCAAGATTCGTGCAGACTAATCACTTTATTTCCCTTTTCGAATGACGATCTTTCACTATATATAGTGTATATATTTTGGGTTTTTTTTTAATAATCCATTTATTTGTCGAGGCTCAAATGCGTTAGCTTTGCGGAGCCGAATATTTTTTACATTATTGTGTGTGAATATCATTTTCTTACAATTAATGTCAGTAGAACGGGGGCCGATTACTCGCGGTTTAGTCGAGATTAGGGATTACATTTATTGATCATTTGGAGGGAGGACAAGGGAAAGCATTTTGAACTAATTTAAAACTTAAACGTAAAGGATGACTAAAACACAAAACATTAAACACATACATCAACAGTTTTAAGAAAGTCGTAAATAAGCTTCATAAAGACGATATCACGGCAAGCCAAGACGTCTCTAATTGGCTTAGAGGGTTGTTTTCCTCGGACCCTAAGGGAATTACACAGAACGGATCTCGCCGCATGATGCAAGGAGCAGGACCAAACAACATGCTCGATGTCGTGATAACCGTTTCCACAGGTGCACAAGTTGCTGTCGGCAAGCGTAATACGGAAGAGGTGGGCGTTTAACGAACAGTGATTGGACATGAGCCTGGACATTACACGAATAAAATCACGACTCATATCCAACCCTTTGAACCAAGGTTTGATCGACACCTGTGGGACAATAGAATGTTGCCATCTTCCCAGATCACCATCATTCTACTTTTGTTGCCAGTTGTCGAGGACTTGCTGACTAGAAATCGTGAAAAATTCGTGGTAGGCGATTTGTCGCTCGTAAATATCGCCTTCCATAGCGCCCACCTTGGCAGCGACTCGGCTTTCTCATTGCCCGGGATAGAGCAATGAGAAGGGACCCATACCAAGGTGATGACATGCGAGCTGTTTGATAAAGCACTCAATGACGATCGTATTTCCTGGAGGAAATACGCCGAGTGCTTCATCGGCCTCATTGAACGCATAGCCTCCAGGGAGCTTAGGGTATCCGTAAAAATGAAATAATGGTCAGGTGGAAGTGAGGCAATACGCTCTAACGTGTACGATATAGCTGCTAGTTCAGCAACGTATACCGAACACGGCTTTTGAAGCTTGTATGAGGCGCTATGAAGATCGTGGAATACTCCAAAACCAGTGGAAGCATTTATCACCGACCCATCTGTGAAAAATCTCTTCTTGGTGGGGACGTGGCGGTACTTGTTCGCAAAAAATAGTTGGGACAATCAGGGAACGGTGAGGCTCTGGAATTCCTTGTCTCTCCTGCCTCATTGTGAGATCGAATCTCACGGAAGAACAACTGAAATGATGGGAGACAGCGCGATTGGGGTTGAACAAGGAGAGGCCGATGTCCAGAGTCATGTACTCGTAGTACAAGCTCATGAATCGTGTTTGAGGATTCCGCTCTAGCAGTTTCTCAAAGTTTTCGATCACCAGCGGGTTCATGACTTCACAGCGGATGAGGAACCGGAACGATAAATCCGCAAAACGATTTGTTAAGGGGAGGACGCCCGCAAGAATTTCAAGACTCATGGTATGCGTCGATTGCATACAACCTAGCGCGATTCAAATGCAACGATATTGAATCCTTTGGAGGTTAAATATGTGCGTCCCCGCCGCCGATTGAAAGCAAAAGCTACCGTACTCCAAAATCGAGAGAATGGTGGCCTTGTAGAGTCTTATCAGATCTTCCGGATGGGCTCCCCATGAAGTGCCGGTAATGGAACGAAGGAAATTGATTTGCTGTTGGCATCTCTGCCTCAGATACGCTATGTGTTTTCCCCAAGTGCACTTGGAATCGAACCAGACACCTAAATACTTAAACGACATGCTGTGAGTGATTGTTCTACCCATAAGTTGAAGCTGAAACTGTGCTCGATAAAGCTTCCTAGAAAAAACAACCATCTCTGTTTTCTCCGGAGAGAATTCGATACCCAGATTCATTGCCCAAGTAGACAGGTCCGGTGCTGTTGGTCCAACCATGGAAACCACGCCGTCATCTGCAAGCTGCCTTAGCGTGCAATTTTCGGCCAGATCAATGTCTTTGACATAGAAATTGTACAGGAGGGGACTTAAACATGAGCCTTGTGGAAGACCCATGTAGCTGATTCGTGCAATTTCCGTGTTGCCATGAGAGAAGCTCATTCGTTTCTCGGACAACAAATTAAACAGGAAATTGTTGATAATCGGAGAAAGCCCACTCGCATGGAGTTTGTCCGAAAGGATGTCGATGCAAACAGAATTAAACGCCTCTTTAATGTCCAAGAAAACTGAACCCATCAGGCTAATTGGATTTCAGTTGAAACCAACGCAAGGCAGTCGTTCGTCCCTTTGCCCCATAAGGAATCCAAATTGCGTATCTGAGAGTAAGCCATTCGCCTCGACGCACTTGTCCAGACGAAGAAGAATCATTTTTTCTAACAGCTTCCGAATACACGACAGCATCGCGATGGGACGGTACGAATTATGATCCGACGCGGGTTTACCGGGCTTCTGGATGGCGATAACTCTCACTTGTCTCCAATCATCCGGAACAACGTTGAGCTCAAGGAATCGATTGAACAAGTTCAACCATCGCCTCTT